CACTTTAAATTTCCGTAACCTACATTGAGAGAACTCCACAGCTATGTGTAGCTGGACGTGGAATTCATTTTGATCTAGTAGTCGACAATTGATTCAATATTAATATTTTTACACCAAGTTCAGTATTCGATTTCCAAAAATACGAATTGTGCAAATTAATGAAGTTTTGCAAGAAATATTTAATATGGTGCAACCCTGCAAGTAAAATTGTTCATCGTGGTCTCATGTATTAAAGGTAAATCGTCTATTGTAAATGTTTGTGAGGTGATAGAATTGTTGTTTTAAAACTCGCCGATGAAATTGTATGCTCAGTATCAACTCCGTTCTTGTGTCCGTTGGAATAAATTAAACTGTCACGTATAGATAGTTATTTAAACGGAGGATATGGGACCTAGAATTCAGGACGGATTTACACTCTAAATACGATAATTTAATGACCGCACAGTTGCAGAATATACGGTTCAATATAATTTTTTTAATTAGACACTCGTATCCCGAACATGCGTTTTTGTGATTTGGAAATAAGTCATATGAAATGCATACATGTAATTAATTATTTTTGGTCCAACACAAATATATGCATATTCCAAGACAGATAATATTTGGGAGAACTAGAAAAATATTTTCTTGACTTATAATCCCGATATGTGACGATTTGCGCTAGCGGGAATGGTGGTATTGCTACCATCATCGGCTATAGAAGAAGCCAATTTATGGTTATCGTCACCTAATTTCGTTATGATTGGCAATTCTTGGAGGCTATTCTTCTCAAGGATAGATAATCCTGATACTTCATAGTCTTTTCCTTTCCCCCAAACAACCATATACAAACCCCCCGCGATCACAGCTCCTCCTATCACACTAAAACAATAAACAAACATAAAGAACAAGAACTTATTGTACTCATATTGTTTAAAATTCGTAAAAATATTCACAATGTGTCTAACGTACCATCCGAAATGGATTTGTTCATGGAGAATAAAAGAAGCAAGGAGGGCTACAAGAACCATGCAGAGAGGGTTAAAGGCAGTAACGAAAACTGGCCCTCTTGTCTTCATAACCATCCCTTGCACGTAGTATGTTAACCCCGAGCTGACTACTCCCTTCATTAAAACCCAATATTTGATTGATATTTTGTTTTCTCAAAGTGATTCATTAGGGTTAAAAAAACTGATGCTTACCGTATAAAGAGGTGCGAAAAGCCGTGCATCCCACCCAACCGCCCATCCGCTCGGGTGGCGCTCCATCACAAGCGCTACTGCGGTGCTTTGGACAGCCCCGGACAGGCATATTAAGGCTGATAGTGAAAGATCAGCAGGGTACTTCTTGATCGTTATGGACTGTTTATCAAATTTACATATGTATATCAGCCGACGCGTCATATAAAATGAATATATACTCCTGAAAATTATAACCAAGCTATATACATATTTTAAAGTATCTATGTAAGGTTCACTCTTCTATTGTGTGGAAGATACCACATTACGTAAAAGATAGAATCAAGAGTAATATAAGAGAGGTTAACCAATTTCTGTTTTGAATTGGCAAAGCTATGCTTGATCCCAATAAAAAAGTAGTTTCGTCCATTTAGTCTATTTTTTTATATATTTATTAGATTATTTCGTAAAAAAATTAATATATACTCTTAAAATATATGGATCCGCCACTAGAGACAAATAAAACTTAACAAATTCGACACAAATGCACTAGCTTCACGGCCAAAAAGGTATGTATGACAAACTTCTACATTTATTATACC